GTCAAAAACAGAGTAGATATGGACACTCTAATGTTAAGCGTGGTAAATAACTACACTGAAAGCAGCACCTAACCCAGGAATTAACTGTTCTTTAAGACCATTTCTTACCACAGTCATAGTAACAAACTGTAGTGACCATTATAAATTTAATGTTTATTTTGCTTTTCTATAAAATCAGAATAATACTGTGTTAATAACTAGTTTTTCTGCAAAATGTTATAATGCAGTAAGAAATCTCACATCAAATATTTTGGCTACTCTGGCCCCCAAAACTGAAAGGCCAACTTTTAAAAGGGTAGATACAATCCCTAAAAGCTCTCAGTACAAGAAAAAAAAAAAAATCACTGCACTTAAAAATTCACTCTCCTCTAATGGCAAGTACAATGAAATTCCATGAGCCACATACATTAAAACTGGCTCAAAGGGCCAGGGACTTAGCTCAGTGGCAATGCCCCTGCCTCACAAGAGCAAGGTCCTGAGTTCAATCTCCAGTATCTTAAAAAAAAAAAAAAAAAAATTTTATCTAAGCATGACCTCCTGACATGGACCTATACTCACTATCCCCAATTGGGCTAAAAATAGATATTTAGACATTTTCACAACAGTGGACATTGCAACAGCAGAAAACTGCTGCATTTTACCAACAAACAAAACCAAATTACGTCACAGCATTTTCCGAGACGGCAATTTTTGCTTACAAATGCATCATCAAATAAATACAATTAACAAATGGTTACGTACATTAAATCTCTCAAGCAAATTATACTGTAGTTTCAGTTTATAAAAACCTACCTCTACGATCACACTAGTGTAACTAATTCTCTTAATACCAAAAAACAAAAGAAAAAAACTTAGATGTCTTAGTATGTTGGCCTCAAAAAGAGCATCTGAATGCTTCAGTAAGGCCAAATCAATGCAGAAGGGTTTATTATACTGTACTTCTTTTGTCAGAGCAATCGAAAACAAAAATCACTTGTTCCACTTCTAGGATCGTGAAAACAATGCAGTAACAAAAGTTATCAAGTCAAATAAGGGCTGAGGGTACAGCTCAGTGATAGTACTTGCCTAGCACTAAGGCTCCAGGTCTGAACTAAAGCACAACAAAAACAAATTTAACAAAAGTCAAGCAAACTTGTTTCAGCTTGATATTCTCAGTCACTTAAGGCATCCATACCAAACACAATGGCAAATAAAATTGACAAAGATACCTATTTCTGTTAAGTGTGCACATATCTTTGAAAGTAGAACTTTTTCTACAAAACGTGTTAACTGAATAAAGTTTAAAAAGCAATCATATTCCACATATAAAGCAGTATAAAGTTCAAAAGCCCCAAATTAGCACCACATCATCTGTAATACAATACAAAGAATCCTTCCTATTATTGCCTTATTATAGCTGGTGACACCTCCAGGGGAAGGTGAGAATAATGCAGAAAAGTGAAGATAAATAGTCGCCTATTGTTACAACCAATTCGTACAAAAGCAAAATCTTATCTCCTAAAGAACAGATTTATTGGGCCAGGGATTTAGCTCAGTGGTTCAGCAGCCCCACTTTGCAACCCACAGGGTACTGAGTTTGATTCCCCCCAAAAAGAAAAAAGAACAGATTAATTACTTCACCTTAAGTAAAATCTGTCAGATATCGATTACTGTCAACAATGATTTGATTACTGTCAACAATGACTACATCTAACAAAAGAAAAGCTAAATTTGTAAGAAACTGTGCAGCCAAAATCTTCTTTACGTACTGAGTTTGATTCCCCCCAAAAAGAAAAAAGAACAGATTAATTACTTCACCTTAAGTAAAATCTGTCAGATATCGATTACTGTCAACAATGATTTGATTACTGTCAACAATGACTACATCTAACAAAAGAAAAGCTAAATTTGTAAGAAACTGTGCAGCCAAAATCTTCTTTACGTACTGAGTTTGATTCCCCCCAAAAAGAAAAAAGAACAGATTAATTACTTCACCTTAAGTAAAATCTGTCAGATATCGATTACTGTCAACAATGATTTGATTACTGTCAACAATGACTACATCTAACAAAAGAAAAGCTAAATTTGTAAGAAACTGTGCAGCCAAAATCTTCTTTACGTACTGAGTTTGATTCCCCCCAAAAAGAAAAAAGAACAGATTAATTACTTCACCTTAAGTAAAATCTGTCAGATATCGATTACTGTCAACAATGATTTGATTACTGTCAACAATGACTACATCTAACAAAAGAAAAGCTAAATTTGTAAGAAACTGTGCAGCCAAAATCTTCTTTACGTACTGAGTTTGATTCCCCCCAAAAAGAAAAAAGAACAGATTAATTACTTCACCTTAAGTAAAATCTGTCAGATATCGATTACTGTCAACAATGATTTGATTACTGTCAACAATGACTACATCTAACAAAAGAAAAGCTAAATTTGTAAGAAACTGTGCAGCCAAAATCTTCTTGTCACGTAATTTTTAAACCAAAGCCTTCATAGAAAGCAAGGTTCTCAAAACAAAACAAAACAAAACAACAACAAAAAAAATAAAACAGTGCAAGAAAACTAGGTATGTCACATTTAATACTGAATGCATAATCCCAATGCTACGGAAGCCGAGGCAGGAGGCTTCCTACCAGTTCTATGCCAATCTGGGCTATACAGAGTGCAAAGCCAGTCTGAACTAAGTAGCAAAATTCCGGTCTCAAAAATCACAAGCAATAATGAATGCATATGAAATAGATGTTAATGTGTTTTAAAAAAAAAACATTAATAAAACGTTTTAATTTGAAATATTTTTGCTCATATATTTAAGAGGCAAAATTTATTGCCAAAAACACAATCAGGACATGAAAATGTTTTTTTCAAACCATCTATACAGAGTCTGATCTAAGCAACACTAATTTTTCTGAAATCCACAATAAAAAGATTTATACTTACTGTCCTTCCTCACACTTTCTATTTTCATATCATTTTAAACCTCCCCTCTAGCAAACAAAACAAGAAAAGAAAAAACTGGAAATCTAGTTTTAAAATATACCTCATTCTCCATTTTTCCCTATTTGGGATTTTTCCATCAAACTAATTTTATTCACCTTCTTACACTGCAAAACTTTATAAAACCACAATCTGCACTCAACTACTGTTATTTACATTTTATTTTCATGAAAAAGAAAAGCCTTTTACAAAAACACTGGTAGTAATTCAGTGTAGCTTTAGCCGGACTGGTTCCAGGGTTCACTTAAAAACTTAAAGAGAAGAAGGTAGTTTAAAATACAGGTTTTATCTGGAATCCTGTAATCATCTCTAACTCTAATAAAAGGTAACATTTTCAAACTGAAGTTATTATGTTCCTTAATAACTGGCCCTAACCTAAAATGTATTCTCCACTTCAAAAACAACCATATTTAAGATACCAGGGAGAAAAGACAGCTCCTTCCCACAAAAATTAACACCAAAAAAGAAAGATTGTCCATAGTCACAAACACAAACTAAAGGTTAATTTTAACTTGGCATGAAATTAAAACACTCTTTCTAAAGCATTCAAATTGTAATCAGGTAGGAAAACCCAGAAAGCTTAATTCCCAAATCTGTAAACTAGCAAAATAAAAATTCTCAAACTGAAAGGAAAATTCTTAAAAGCTTATTATTTATAAAGTATCTTAAAACAAAACTCCTAAAGCTCATTCAAAATTCCTAATTATCAGGAAACATATCTACTTATGTTTTCATTAAACTCACAGTTTCATCTGAATTTAAAAATAGTTTTTCTACCAAGCGTAAAGGACAAAGGAAAATGTAATTCCTAACCAAAAACAGAAGTCAAGATTAATTTGTTTTGGACAGTCCAAAAAGGTTTGGTAAAGAACAAATTTCATAATTAAATTTCACAATTAATTTATCTAGAAAAAAAAGTGATGCACTTAAACAAAAAAGTGTTTTTCTTAAGTCAAATTACATTTATTAAAATGTCAACAATTACAGGAAGCAGCTTATTCCATACGAAGAAACAGCCCCTTTTCCTGTATGTTTGTACTGGACTGATAAAAAACAATCAAACTTCCTAGTCATTATATTGTCCATTTTAAACAAACTCCCAAACCCAAGCAACTTTTACACTGGGGGGATTGAAAAGGATGAAAGTAAAGAGAGACTAAGATCAGTTAACTACTTTACAGAGGAAAAAAATCACTGAGAATGTACCCTAGTCAACTATTGGTCTTCGACATCTAAAACTCAAAGAATCTTTTGGCAAAAAGACAAATAAACCTTGCTAGAAATAACGACATAAGTAAAAATAAAACCAAAAGCAAAACGCTTAGCAGGGAATAAACTCCAAGATTTCAGGTTAACTTTCATAAAAGCAGAAATAAGAAACCTTTCTAAAACTAATCAAAGAAACTCAATTTTTTTAATCTTTATGCATTCTTCGTCATTTGCTCGAATTTAACATTTTGAGGACGCAATTTAATTTTGGTTAACTCTACATATCGCCATGGTCTATTTTCATTTTAAAGGACATACAGAATTTCTTCTAAACTGTACTTTGAAAAAGTCTTTCATTAAAAATTCTTACTAAAACTAAAATATCGCAAGAAAACAATAATTTATTGTCTACAACCCTTACATAGGCACAGTGACTGATGAAATGATCTATAACTTAAATTTTAACTACATTTAAAATAGGTCGGATTATTGAAAATGTTACGTTTTGTTTCAAAAATTTCCATGGTTAAAATTAACTGGCGCCCCTTAGCGGTCACATTTGGAAATACTCAATTTAAGAGTTCCAGCACTTTTTTTTTCTGACATTCCAGAAAGTTTTCTGCCTCCACAATCTTTCAAATGCCAACACAAATAGGAAAAGCAGAACCCCTTAAAGAGACAGTTCAAGTTTTCTCTGCAGCAATTTGAGATTAACAGATAAACTAATCCAATAGTGAAAAAATGCACATTTCAGTTTGGGTTACTACTGTACGTTGAAGATAGGTAAGCAAAAGGAAGAGGCAGTGTAGTACCTGTTTCCCACTTTAAAATTGCGCCTTTGACTTTTAAATCAACAAGGACTACTGAGAGATTCTCTTTAAAGCAACTTTTATCACAGACATATTTCCGGTCTTTTATTTTTTCCTAATATTCCAACTCCCCTAAGTTTCACTCGTTTTCCCTAATTGTATTTGGAAAATCTCAAAATTCTTACTTAAAAAATCTAAAACCTATTGTTTATCTGTACAAGTTTTCAGCTTCCTTTTAACAGTCTTCTGGAAATGCTTTATAACCAAACAGCTTCCCGCTACTCGATTTCCAAAATAGACTCTACTGTCTTGCCCCCTGGGCATCCTTACAGAAACCCACAGCTACTAGAAATTAGTACTCCAGGTCACTGTTGCAAGAACTTCTTAAAAGAATTCCAAAGTTGACCAACATTAATCTTCTTGTCATTCTTCACTCCCCACAGTGTTCCGCCAGCTAAGCTTTTGCAAACTTTTGCTGGATTTCATTTTCACCCTCTCGAACTCCTCGATCCCCACCCGGCGAACCCAGGCGGCAGCGCCCCGGGCGAACTCTCCGCCCAGGATCTCTACAAATCGGGATCGCGCTCGGGTCTGTCATCGCGGTATTTCGTGCTCCACCCTCCCACTCCCCAAAAGTGAAGTCAAACTCCCTAACACTTCTCGCTTCCCCAAACAAAGGAACTAAAAGTGCTTCCTCCGTCATTCAGAACTCGCCTCCTGCGCAGTTTCTCCAGCCGGACTAGCCCCACGTCGCCTTCTGTCTTGGCTAGAGCAGCC